AGCTTTTTTGAGTTGGAGTCTCACTCTCGCCCAGACTGGAGTGCAGTGGCCGCTCCCGGCCACCGCAGCCTCGACCTGCTGGGCTCCGGCGATCCTTCCGCCTCAGCCTTCCGAGTAGCTGGAACTACAGGCGCACGCTACCGTGCCCAGCTAATTTTTTGATTTATTGTAGAGACGAGGTCTCACCAAGTTGCCCAGGAGGGTCTCAAACCTGCGGCTCAGGCAATCCACTCACCTCAGCCTCCCAAAGCGCTAGGATTACAAGCTGAGCCACCGAGCCTGGCTATCACAAAATTTAACATCATGTGTTTTTTAGCATTTACTTCTTTGTGACCCCACGTGTAGTTCCATTTTTGAAGTTCACGGTCATGCCTTATTCATGATGTTGCTTTTTGCGTACGTTTATGAGTAGCTGTTTTCAATGATGAGGCACAGAAAAAGCAAAATTCAAACAAATGTTTCTGAAGAGAACGTTCTTGAGAATTCCCTAAGAATGGCAACCACTTCCATTGAACCAGACATCGATAGATAAGTTCTACCAAAAGGTCAAATTTCCCACTAGTTTTATGTTGTTCTCATTTTTCTAATCTTTAAAAATATAAAAAACAAAACAAGTCTTATGATATATATGACTGTATTATATAATTATGTGTGGCCCACGACAGTTCCTCTTTACTTGATATGGTCCAGGGAAGCCAAATTGTTGGACCTCGCTGTCTGGAGAGAGGAGCGCACCATGCTCTGGAGGACCAGCAAGGCACCCTCCAGATGCTTCCAGGGCATCCCACACCCCAGACCAAAGCCTGGAGCCCCTGCTGGAAACAGAAAGATGCAGACAGCCTGTGTGGTTTTTTTTTTTTTCCTTTTTATTATGAAAACAAAACAAATGCCCCAGGAGAAGGGTCCATGATTACCAGAAACATCAAAGAGTACTTTCTACCACTTTTATTCTGTTGTGTTGAGGCCAGCATTGCAATAAACAAGCTAAAACTACTTACATTGGACTCATTTTCAGTAACTGACATTTACAGGAATATACTAGAAACGGCACTAAAAAGTTTAAGAAAAGTTACGGGAAATTGCATGCACATCATACAGAAAAGTAACATTTTAAATATAAAAAAGAAAAACGTCCTGGAAGTGTTACGCCAGCATTAAGAAACAGCGCTAAACTGCCTGTGACAAGTTCTTTAGGTGGGTGGTGTTTCTTCCCGAAAGACTGTAAAAAGCGTGGATTCTGCAAAAGAACAAAGACAAAACAGATACCAAAGAAAATGTGTTTTACAGTCCGTAAGCAAAACGAGGCTGCCCTCTGGGATCGGGGTACACCCGACGCCCACCCCTCGGCTGACTCCAGGGGTTGCTCAGAGCGCCCTCCGGTCACCTCCTGTACACGACCATCCCACACGCGCCTTGCCCCGCTCCTTGCCCCTCGAAAAAAGCGTGTGAAAAGCTGCCCTCAGCACCAGGACAATCCAATTAGACACCACGGCCTTCCCAGGACAGACGTCGCCCACAGCCCGACGTCGAGGGCGCCAGGGAAGCCATCGGTCCTCCAAAACTGCAGAGAAGCCCGTTTTGAAGCCTGGACAGAAAGCCTGGAAAAAAGTGACAGCACCAAGGAAGCCCAGCTGCTCAGGGAGCCCTCGGGGGTGGCGATCCTTTCTGAATGGGAGGAGAAGAGGCGGGCAGTCGACTGCAGACACCACACCACAGCAGACGACTGGAAGACGACCGGCAGACGACCGATGCCCTGCGGGCTGTCCCGCTTCCCTGCCTGCCAGTGCCCACGGGGGACAGCTCACCACCCTGCGGCTGGAGGCACGCCCTAGGAGCGCCCCAGGAACCTGGCTCAGGGGCTGGGCGTCGCCCGGTGAGGCACCTGTGAAGACCTGCCAGCCGTCAGGTGAACTCCTTACACTCACAGCTTGAGTATTCCATTCAAGATCTGCTGGAAAATACCTCTGAAAAACAAGGGTGACTGTAAAAAATGGGAACTTTAAAAACCACTGATGCTTTATTACAAACAAAACTTAATCAAAAGTTTAGTGAACTGGCTGAAAACTCACCAGTGTCAGAATCACCAGTAATTGGAGAAATGACCTTCTACCATCTGGTTCCCCAGCAGAGTTCTATACCTATTAAGCGTCTATGTCTGCCGGGCTCAGCGGCTCAGCCTGTAATCCCGCACCTTGGGAGGCGGAAGTGAGCGGATTGCCTGAGCCCGTGGGTTCGAGACCCGCCTGGGCAGCGAGACCTCATCTCTACAATAAATCAAAAAATTAGCCAGGTGTAGTGGCGCGCGCCTGTAGTTCCAGCTACTCAGAAGGCTGAGGCGGAAGGATCGCCGGAGCCCAGCTGGTCGAGGCTGTGGTGGCCGGGAGCGGCCGCTGCACTCCCATCTGGACGACAGAGTGAGACTCCAACTCAAAAAAATAAAAAATAAAAAAAGAGTATATGTCTGCAAGGGTTGGTGGGCTCTGGATCACCTTCATGAGTTTTAAAATTTGCCACGTATTAGGACACCGATGACTAGTTCCCAACCGTGAGTGCTGGCAGAAAGCACCGACCACCCGACAGCTCCAAGCCCCACACCCGTCTCAAGGGACACCCCCCGCCTCGCTGGGAGGACACCTGCCTTGGTCACCTCTGGGCTACATAACTGTGAAAATGCGATCCGGGGAGGGACCTTCCTGGTGCCGAGACTCCTCCGCCCGAAGAGAGCAGACACGCCAGGGGAGAGCCCGGCACGCCCCACCTATGGGCCCGGGAGGCCACCCGATGAGTTCCTGGCCAAGGCCACAATGTTCAGGGCTCGGGTGGGCGGTTTGGGGCATCCCTGCACTCAAAGGCCAGATGGTGGCCTCTGGAAAAACAAAACCAGAACATAACCTTCTGTTAAACTCTGTATATTATTATTATTTTTTACAATAGAAAGTCAAAAATCAAGACTTAGATTTACTATACATTTTTTTCTCTCAGATTACAAAGTTTATATTATATAACTGGGGTTCCCTACGTTGATTTCTTTAAAACAGTCCTAAAGACACGGGAGTGAATACAAAAGAACTAAACACACAAAATAAAATTTAAAAATTAGGGTGTGCTGTAGCTGAAAGCCGTCTATACCGGTACGTCTCCAAACTTCATACAAAAAAGAAAAAGAAAAAGAAAAAGAAAAAAAAACCAAGCAAACCACCAGCCCGGGGAAGCGCGTCCAGACACGTATCAGCACCAGCGCAGGTAACAGGAACTAGCACCGGGAGGTCAGAGGGCGTCCTGCGAGCGGTCCCGTCCACACCCTTCCAAGGCCTGCATCTCTGCTCTTTTTTTAATGCGTTTCTTCTGCAGTTTTTTTCTTTTCTTCTTTTTTTCTTTTTTTTAAAAAAATGACCAATGATGTTAATAAATAAAGTATTTATATATACATAAAATTGGAAAAACGGTTCCAGGGTGTGCAGCAGCTGTAGGGGGCAGCGTTACCACGCGGAGACACGCGTCGGGCTGGACTTTCGTAGAAAATTGCCGAACCTTACAAAAAAGTCTCCTTTTGTTTGTTTGTTTTCTTTTCTTCTTTTTTTTTTTTTAAGTTGAGGTAAAAGCTTCAGTGTATGGAAACCTGCACGCTGCACACGCAGCTGCCGTGTTCCCTCCCAGGAGCTCCTGACGTCGCACGATCCGAGAACGCCACAGCCCTTCCCGCCCTGCCCGGCCCAGCCCAGCCCCGGGAGCTCCGTGCTCGGCAGCAGGGGCTGGGGCAACCCTTCCTTCGCTTGGGCCCAGACCGGGTCGGTCCGACCAAAGGGCAACTCCGTCCTCAGCCTCGGCAGAGAGGCGACGCCCTCGAACACAAGGGTCAGCCCTCGGGGCCCCAGCGCAGACAGCACCCATCTGCAAAGCGAACAGCTTCCAAATGCAGCACCCACTTCAGAGAACTCTCCTTTGAAAAGATTCCTTCTGGAGCTCTACAGGTCGGGCACAAGAGAGGGATTCCGCAGGGTCCTTCGGTTCGCGTCACACGGTTTTCTGTGGTCGCCAACAAGCCTTCAAAGCAGTCAGCTCCGAGCGCCTGAATCCGGTCACGCAGGAGAGACCACGCGGCGTCTGGGCCGTCCCACAAAGTGCAACGCACACGCAGACAGAGCTCCGACCTACGGAAGCGAAACTGGAAGGTGTCATAACACTGAATTCAAAAGAAAACCTGCACACCATGGAACACAAGTAGTATATTAACCACAGAAGGGGACACGGCAGAGTCGGCGTGTGCGGCATCGTCCGTTCCAGTCCGTCCGAGGCCGGCTCACTCCGAGTCGCTGCTGTCCGAGCTGGACCCGCTGGAGCTGCTGCTGCCGGACTCCGACGAGCTACTGCTGCTGAGCCGCGATGGGCCCCCCGACGGTGCCGAGCCCGGCTTCTCTGTGGGGACACATGGGTGGGGAAGGTGTCACAGCCTGCCTGAAACGCGCCGCCGGCCGGCACCATCCACCAAGACCCACCCGCTTCCCAGCCGGGTCATTTCGCAGATATTTGTTGAAATGGCTGGGTGTGGTGGCTCACGCCTGTCACCCCAGCACTTTGGGAGGCTGAGAAGGGAGGATTGCTTGAGCCGAGAAGTCGAGGTCAGCCTGGGCAACACAGTGAGACCGCGTCTCTACAACAAATCAAAAAATTAGCCGGGAGTGGTGGCACGTGCCCGTCATCCCCGCGACAGGCTAAGGTGGAAGGACCGCCTGAGCCCAGGAGATGGAAGCTGCAGTCAGCCATGATTTGTGACGCTGCCCTTCAGCCTGGGTGACAGAGTGAGACCCCCAATTTTTTTTTTTCCTGAGTTGGAGTCTCACTCTGTGGCCCAGACTGGAGTGCAGTGGCCGCTCACGGCCACCGCAGCCTCAGCCTGCTGGGCTCCGGCAATCCTTCCGCCCCAGCCTTCCAGGTAGCTGGCACTTCAGGCGCGCACTACCACGCCCAGCTAATTTTTGATTTATTGTAGAGATGAGGTCTCGCCAAGTTGCCCAAGAGGGTCTCGAACCCGGGGGCTCAGGCAATCCACTCACCTCAGCCTCCCAAAGGCGTGGGATTACAGGCTGAGCCACCGAGCCCAGTTGAGACCCCAAATTTAAAAAAAAAAAACAACAGCAGGGCCAGACACAGTGGCTCAAGCTTGTAATCCCAGCACTTTGGGAGGCCGAGGTGAGGGACTACCTGAGCCCAAGGGTTTGAGGACAGCCTGGGCAACTTGGCAAGACCTCATCTCTGCAATAAATCAAAACATTGCTTGGGCGTGTGGCTATGAGCGCACCACTGCACTCCAGCCCGGGTGATGGAGTGAGACTCCAACCCCCCAAAAAAAGCAACAAAAAGCGAGTTCTTGAAATGAATCAGCAGGGCCAACACTATCTCAGTAGGCTCGAGACGGAGAAGAGGAATGTGGTCTTATACAGGCGCCAGTGGGCGCGGGAGAGGCACGTGCAGGACCTCCCTGGCCATGTGGAGGCCAGCAGCGGCACTGCCGCACCCTCAGCGGCGCAGAGGGGACCTGGGGCCTGGCCACCCCTAGATCTGCCGCCCCCGTGTGCGTGTCTACTCCCGAAGAGGCCAGGGTCACAGATACTTGTTCTCTCTTAGGAGTTCCAGAAAAAGGAGGCCAGGAGTCACATACCTCTCACCTCAACACAAGACCCCAGGGCGCCCAGCGCAGGGTCCAGGCCGCGGCCAGAGCCTCCCCACCCTGGTCATCTCAGCACGCCGGGGAACATGGTTACTCTGCTGTCAGAAGGTTGGCTGCCGAGGGGCAGGGGACTGAGACCCTCCCTGCCACGACGGCCAGCCCAGGAGCCCCCACCTGGGGCCACATCTATTCAGGTGTTCCGGGACACGGCACGGTCACACACACCTCACGTCTATTCAGGTGTTCTGTGACCTCCCGGCACACTCAGGTTGTGGACCTGACAGATGAGGAACTCAAGGTTTCCAGAGGCCAAGGGCCTCATGAAGGGCACAGAGCCCATCACGCGGCAGCGCCACACAGGCACACTGGCCTGTCCGATGCCGAACCCTCCTGTCCCCATCGGACAGAGACAACAGCGGCCCCAGAGGCAGACGGTACCTTTCCGGGCAGGCTTCTTGCCCCCGCTCAGCTGCCCGCTGACGTCCTGCAGACGCTTCTCCAGCTCCTTCTTCTTTTCCTGAGCGAGCTCCTCCTTCGACTTGGCCGCCGGCTTCTTCCCGCTGGCCGCTGTGGGGACAGGTGAGCGCTGAGACCGCAGAGGGGCAGACATGGGACAGGAGGGCAGGCCGCCGCGCCTCTCAGGGGCGACTCACTCCCTGAGGCCATGCCAGGAGCTGGGTCTGCATCCAGGTGGCCACGGCCCCAACCCAGCACACCAGTGTCCGCTCCACCCACCCAGCCTTCGTGCGCCTCTGTGCTGACACCTGCAGGTGAGTCGCCAGAGCTCCCCAAGTGTGGGATCGGTGGGGCTGAGACAAAGCCACCCCCACCACCACCCACATCTGCTGAGCCCTCACAGGGCAAAGCCTGTATCCTGCAAGGGAGAGGCCACGCCCACCCCCACCCCCGCTGCCAGGGGCACAGAGGGACGCGCCTGGCCAGCATACTCATGGGAAGAGCAGGGTCCGCTATGAACAGTGTGGCCTCATGGCGCCTTCACTGCCTGGTGCTGCCACCCCCAAGTCGACGGGTGACTTACTGTGGGTCCAATGTGCCATGACGACACAGGGTCACCCAAACAAGCCACCCAGGTCAGGAGGCCCCCCTTCCCCAGCAGGGAGCACACCCCGAGGGGCCACACGCAGGCTCAAGCGAGGCTCACCAGGCCCTGGACAGTCTGTGGGGGCAACCCTGAGGCCACCTCGGGTCTGCCCGTCTCGCACGCTCCAGGGCCTGCAGCCCCAGGCAGTGACACCCTCCTCAGTGGTGTCATCGGCTTCCAGGGCAGTCTGGGCTGGTGCCAGAGTCCATCCTGGGAGGGCTCTGGCCTTGCAACCCCAGTCAAAGGGGGTTGCTCAAACCTCGGAAGCGATCTGCACAGGCAAGGGACCGCCAGAGAGGACGGCCCGCAGCCCAGGCCCCAAGCGGACCCTAACTGAACCCTGAGTGAACCCGGGGTCCTGCCTGCCCTGGTGCTTCCCCTGGCAACGCCAAGTGCTGCCACTGCCCCGAGCAGGGGAGGAGGGCTCGGGTGAGGGGCTCGGCCCCAAGCCCCTGCCCTGGCTGAGCAGACAGCTGTCCTCAGGGCAAGGTGGGGAGCGGGAGCCAGCAGAGGTGGCAGCCCCCAGGGCGCTCGTGGCACCAGGGCTTCGAGGAGGGAGCGGAGGGGAGGCCGGGGGGGGGCGCGGGGAGCGCCACGCCTGCCGCCACTCACAGAACGGCTTCCGCTGCTTCTTCTGTAAACAAGACTTGACGTATCTCTCCAGCTCCCGCAGAGTGGTGGGCTTCAGCGTCTCGAAGTCGATCTCGATCTCGTCGGGGTTGGAGTCCCTGAGCGAGGGCTCCCGCGACTGGATGATGTGCACCACCCGGCCCAGCTTCTCCCCGGGCAGCCGGTTGATGTCCAGGCTGAGCTGCCGCTTCTCGTCGTAGCTCATGGGCAGGCCCTCCTCCTCCTCCTCCGAGTCGTAGGACGCGGACGCCTGCTTGCCGCCCTTCTTCAGCTGCCTGCGGCACGTGACAGAGCCACGCGGCGTCCGGCCGGGGTTCGCAGGCCCCGGGAGCCCCCTGCCCTGCCCAGCCCCCGCCGGCCCGCCCAGCACCCCTCCTCCCGACAGCAGATGTTCTCCCGAGGGCACACCCAGGCCAGGTGCATGGCTCACGCCTGGAATCCCAGCACACTGGGAGGCCCAAGAGGGAGGGCCACTTGTTCGAGGCCAGCCTGGGCAACACAGAGAGCACGCCTCCTCAGAAAATCAAAGAACGAGCTGGGCAGGGTGGCGTACACCTGTAGTCCCACTACTCAGGAGGCTGAGGCGAGAGGATGGCCTAGGCCAGCCAGTTGAGGATGCAGCAAGCTATGATGATACCACTCCATTCCAGCCTAGGTGATAGAGTAAGACTCCAAACTAAAAAAAAATCCAGGCCAGGGTCGGTGACTCAGCCTGTAATCCCAGCACTTTGGGAAGCCGGGGCGAGTGGACTGCCTAAGTCCATGGGTTCGAGACCAGCCCAGACAACCTGGCCAGACCTCGTCTCTACAATAAATCAAAAATTAGCAGGATGTGGCAGGGCACACCCGTAGCTCTGGCTACTTGGAAGGCGAAGGCAGAAAGATCGCTGCAGCCCAGCAGGTCGACGCTGGGGTGGCCATGAGTGTGCCACTACACTCCAGCCTGGGCGATGGAGTAAGACTCCCAACTAAAAAAAAACAAAAAAACAAAAAAACCAGCCAAACAAAAAAAACAAAACCAAAAAACATCCAACTTACATGCTATCTACACAAACTCCACTTTAAATATAATGTTATAGATAGATTAAAATGAAAAAAAAAAAAAAAAAAGCCAGGCTCGGTGGCTCAGCCTGTAATCCCGCGCTTTGGGAGGCTGAGGTGAGTGGATTGCCTGAGCCCACGAGTTCAAGACCCGCTTGGGCAACTTGGCGAGACCTCATCTCTACAATAAGTCAAAAATAAGCTGGGCGTGGTAGTGCGCGCCTGTAGTTCCGGCTACTCGGAAGGCTGAGGCGGAAGGA